GTCTAGTCGTTCGGATGGGACAAAAAAAGAGTTCTCGTGTACATATTGGCGTGTACGTAAACGATCCATTGGCAGTTGGAATTCGATATAAGAGTAGGCCACAGCGCCGCTGTCACGGCAAAATTTCACTCATAGCACACTGTATGGCGTATGCCCGTCTTCATAAGCCCAGTCGAAGTAGAACAGTAGGACGTTAAACCCCCATTTCATTTCATTTCATTATAAAAGTACACACACTAGTTCAAGGTTTGTTTACCTTTTTTATACGTCATCTCTCTCAGGCGTGCATCCGGTTTCATCCCACTGTTAAAGATCCCCTACGCGCAAGCGAATTATTGAAATAAAACTAAACCATATGTTAGTCCCGAAATGACCTAGCTTGTGTCGAGTGGACGTTGACCTCTCTCTCTCTCTCACTCTCTCTCTCTCTCTCTCACTCTCTCTCTCTCTCTCTCTTGCCCCCCCCCCCCGAAATAATTTTCGACCATAAAAAAAATAGATATATATTGATACATTGTCCGTCAGTATTACAGCACCCCCTGAGAACACTTCCCGCCCCCCCCCCTCGTTGCTCTGAGCTAGTTACGGCCCTGATTCAGTCGTTTTAGATAGCAATAAATAAAATCAAAAATATCTGTGTATATGTTCACCGATCACGCTTCTTCGCCACGATCCACCGGGTGGTACTTTTTACCGCCGACCACCGCCGACTACCGCCGACCAATACTTTTACCGCCGACCGTCGTGAAATTACCGCCGACCAAATACTTTTTACCGCCGACCGTAATATAATTACCGCCGACCAAATGCTTAATGATTCCTTGTTACCGCCGACTATATAAAATTAATTAAATTATTAGTGACAAATAAATAGATTTGGTTAAATACACAGAGTTTGATAAAAAAAATATAGATTTTATTATATATAAATATGGTCGACAACCCTAACCCTCGCACTAATAGAAGATAGGCCTAAAATGTTATTTATTTATAACCAGTAGCTGAAACAATCTTGATATTTTTTTTATTTGCCCTTCAATATCTAAATTGTAGTTTGTCCTTCCATATTCTTTAAAATATATATGAATGTTTTTCGACAGTAAAGTTGTACGTGATTACACCTCAAATAAAAAATAACATTCTTGTATTCTTTTTTATAAAAAAAAAAACAACCGTAAAATAGTCGGCGGGAACAAGGAATCATTAAGCATTTGGTCGGCGGTAACAAGTATTTGGTCGGCGGTAATTATATTACGGTCGAAAGTCATTACAATGCGGTCGGCGGTAAAAAGTATTTGGTCGGCGGTAATTACACGACGGTCGGCGGTAAAAAGCATTTGGTCGGCGGTAGTCGGCGGTGGTCGGCGGTAAAAAGTACCACCGCGATCCACCTCTACATAATTATTATGTCGTATCAAATTAACCAGCATGACCCCGTGATTGTTTAAGGCCATGAGAAAGTTCATCTGGATTTTCCTTCATGCCCCCCCCCCCCCCCATCTTGTCGGATGGGACGAAAAATCGAGGTCGAGCGTGCACACTGCATGACGTATGCCCGTCATCATTAACCCAGTCGGAGCAGAACAGTAGGATGTTCAGCCCCATTTCATTTCCTATAAAACTATGCATTGACCACCATTTCCTATAAAACTATACATTAGCCAACATTTGAGGTCCCTACTTTTGTCAGCATGTGTAATTTAACTAATTTGGTGGGGTTTTTTTAAAGTTGATGTGAAGCATTTGGACAATGAGTGGATGAACCCTATTGATTTTCCCCGTTCCCTGTCCATCTCTTGCAAAATGTAGGCGTGTCCTGCATTGCAACCGCTTGAAATTGTTTTCATGATTAACGGAAAGCATTGAGGTCATGCGAGAATGAACGATGTCGAGTTAAAGCTTTCTGTGACTTTCCATTCCGGAGTTACCCCCCTTTATCAAACCCCTTGTGAACACGGTATACTGTTTTTAACAGTATTTTTTTTTCAAATTTGTATCAAATATTCGAGCCATGATAAACTCTATCGATATTAAACGTTCAGCCACTATCCGTTCCAGAGTTATGCCCCATTTTTCGAAAAGCTTTATGAGCGCGATAAAGGCTATATCTTTTTCACATTTGGCTTGAAACATTGGGATCATCGATATTCATATCCCGCAGCTGTCCTGAGTTACCCATTTTGCAGAAAACCTTGTGAACTCCATCGAGGTTATTTATTTTAACTGATTTATTGTTCATCCCTGCGTATGCCGGGGTAGTTCATTGTGGTTTTTCCCCATGTAAGGGCAATCTGATTCACAGAGTACGAAAGAGTTCTAATATCTCTGTAAAATACCTTCAACACGTGACGTCTCATCACGCGGCGTCTATCATTGGCGCCTGCATTGTTTACATAAGACGTTACTGGTTCGGGCAAAATAGTGTCTTTTACTTATTTAAATACCCATTTACACTAAATAGGAAATAATTTTTACCTACAAATACCTCAAACGTCTTTATTTATTTTTCTAATACACATAAAAAATGTTTTAGAATTTAATTTGCCGAAGGAAGAAAATTAATAATTGTAGCTCATTAAGTCGCATCGATGTCATCCTTATCAGTGATTGTAGCGGTTTAGCGAATATTCACTGCTGATCAGTGTGATGTTAGTGGTCTAGGATGGAGGGCCTGGCAAAGAACAACGTATAGTGGTTCGGGTGGAATCAAATATATAGAGCTGACCCTACATGGACCAGTTGACATTCACTCACTTGTTAATTAGCGTTCGCCCTGTTAACACCTGCTGCTCCAGTGATCCAGTGTTCCAGTTTTTCCAGTCTTCCAGTTACCCATTCACCATGGACCCGATAGTAAAAACCTACCAAGTGCCAGAAGAAGAGACAAGCCGCATATCATACCACGTGGCGGTCAGCAGCACGGAGAGATTAACCGACAGGGGAATCTTGAAGTGCCTGATCGACCTACTCGGCAAGTGGGAAGATATATTAACAATCTACCTAAAAGAAGACGAGTGGCACGTTCATGTAAGAGCGAAAGAAGTAAAAAGTAAACTCCTCGATAAAGGGAAACACACGCACATGGGGATAACATATCAGTTCCACAAACGTTTTACCAAAGTAGTCACCCTTACAGTCTACGACTTCCCTGTATCATACTCCGATGATTACTTCCTAGAAATTATGGGTGACATCGGACATGTGAGAACCTTCCAAGACCAACAACTCCCGGGCACCCATGTCTACAAAAGAATAAGAGAAGTGGAAATAGAGATCCAGAACAAGAAATTCAAAGATATACCCCAAGTAATAATATTAAAAGCACATTACGGAGATGCCAAAGTACGAGTAGTAACACCAGGCCAACCTTCTCCATGCTTCAGATGCGAGAAGTTTGGCCATTCACGAAGAGAATGCCCTCTCCGGGCCCCTGAAAAAGACAAGAAAAAGAAGACAGCTCCAATAATCCCAACAGTCCCACCAACCACAGTAAAGAGAGTACAAAACAGCAAGCCAACAGTTCCAGAAAATAAACCACCAGTAACCCAGTCTCCACCAGTCGAACCAAAAGCTCCAAAAAGAAGAAGAGGATGGAGGCAGATCAACATCAGAACAATCAGACTTTGAATTTACTAAACCAAGACCCCCTCCATTAAAGATAAACGAAAGTAATTTTGAAATACAAGAATGCAGCTACCATCCCTCTACGTCAACACCTCGCGACACAAGTTTTGATATTAATATCCACAGCATAATCAGCAGCAATAGCACATTCGACGACTAAAAAAATATATAACACGTGATTGTCTGCGATATCACTTCGGTGGAAGCGGACGTAAAATACAACTAACATCATCATCATGGACCAGTAACCGGGCTTGACGTCATTGCATCCATCTTGAAATTGTGGCGTACTATTGAATGTAGTCAATCTATCGGCAAATGTAAAAAAACAAAAAAAGTTTCAGGTTGATCGCACTTCAACAGACGAAGACTTAGTTTGTCGCAATGCACTATACCCCTCGATACAAAAACATCTGCAAATCTGAATCTGAATCTGAAGGGTTACGTTGAAGCGACCAATTCTGGCTTTCATTCAACGGGGGAGGAGTGCGCTATTAGATGTCACTCGTAGCCACTTGTGTCTTGAAGCGCTTGATTGTATCTGCTTTCACAACACTATCGCTAAGTCTATTCCACTCTAATAGAGTTCTTGGGAAGAATGAATGTTTGTAATTGACATATAGTTGGAATAATGTCGAAACACTTGCTATTGTTGTTAACTGAATTTAGTACAATGTTAGTATGAGTAAAGTCTTCAAATTTTTTTAGCTCTGATAGAACGTTTTACTCTCTGGGATTTCAGGTAGTGCTCAAAAGGTTTGTTCAGGCATGACTACTATGCGGCACACCGAAAAATCTGAGTTAATAACTGTAGCTTCTATCGCTTTAACACGCCAAGTGTTGGCCGACTGAATGATAGGTAAACTTCGCAAGCAACATCATAATAGGTACATGCAAATCAAATACGTAATTTGTAGACGAAATATAACTCAATCTGATTTAACACAGATCCTATTTCGTTTCGTTTTTATAGTTCAAAATTTCGTTTTACATGTCTTTACTACACTAGGATCTGGAAGAGTTGTTATATAACCTGTGTTTTGGTTGAAATGAGGGATTAGCCAATGAAACGGTCTGTTACGGCGACTTCTTGGTGTCTCGTGCACGGAACTGTAGGTAAACCACTAGAAACATCAACCCCGATTGATTAATCAATGTCTGATGTCATAGGTCAAAAAGCGCTCGTATGACCCCTGACATGACCTTCGAGTACAACTTGTCAGATCTTCATGTAGTGTAGGCCATCGAAAGTATAAAAAAAACCAAACGAAATATAGATCTGTATTTCAATTAGATTGTAAAATATCTAGGGATCAATCAAAACAACCGGAAGTAACACACAATGACAAAACTCATTGACAAACTAACTCAGGAAATAGTCAAAAAATAGTTTATTAAAAAATTTTGCCTAGATGGCTTATTTTGCCTGACAATATTACAAATTCTAATTTATTTTTGCTTAATTACATGATATGAAATAAAATTGGTTTTAGCGTCGTACTGATTTGACAGGTTAACGGGAGCGCTTCTTACAAACAGGATAGTTGGTGTGAAAACTAAGAGATGTTAACAGCAACAGCAGCAACGATGGTAAGAAAATACTATTTTTATTTAGAAATAACCATGTTAGAATAATAAATATGTTACAATACAAAATAAATATATTACTCGAGAAATGATCAATCGTAAACACAATCTGATTAAAACACAGATCCTATTTCATTTCGTTTTTTTATAGTTCAAAATTTCATTTTACGCCTCTTTACTACACTGGGATCTGGAAGAGTTGTTATATAACCTGTGTTCTTATTTGATGTGAGGAATTAGCCAATGAAACCATCTGTTACGGCGAGTTCTTGGCGTGCTCTGCACAGAACTGTGGGTAAACTTCTAGAAAAGTCAACGCTGATTGATTAATCAATGCTTGGCGCTATAGGGACAAAAGCCGCTCGTATGAACTCTGACGTGACCTCCCAGTACAATTAGTCAGATCTTCATGTAGTGTAGGCCATCGAAAGTATAAAAACGAAACGAAATATAGATTTGTATTTTAATCAGATTGTCGTAAATAATATAATAATAAAAAAAAAACCCCAAAAAACAGTTTTTGGTCGCACTCGGTCTTGCAATAAATCAGGGTTCACAAATACCCCAGAATGGCGAGATAAACAAATTCATATAGACCAAACCTTATCTAATTACTATTCTTTAAATAAATAATAATATTAAAAGGACTATAAGTCACAATATTTAAAATTTTAATAAATTACACGGCAAGGCATTATCAAACATAATCAATAATGTATAACTATTGCAACGATTCTAAAACAAATCCATTGCAAATGAACGTAGCAATGTCTGCCACGGTCGGATCAAAATATAATTTGTCTTGGACCCACAACATGTAAGGGAGATAATCAATAAGAAATTGCTAGTATTTTGCTAAATTCGGGCCATCTAGTAGTGTAAAATGTCATTAAAATAATGAAATAAAATGTCAATACCTTTAAATTCGTCGTTTTATATACGAGAAGATATGTCGACAATCAAAACAACTGAAATCACCCAGTTGTGGTCACTGTCTCTGTGTATGAGAAAATATAACCTATTCCGTTCGTGATTTTATTGACCACTCGGCAAGCCCCGGCAGATTCCGTTACTCTACATCTAGCTGTATGGCGGCGATATGTACCTACGCCTATACAATTGCGATGCGGCAGCGGTTTACTTATTAGGAAAACATGCCGCGTTAAAAAGAAGTTATCAAAATTGCGTCGTTCGAAGCGTGTGTAGAAGTTTCATTGCAAAGTTGTCCTTGTTTGAAGAAAATTGGATAAACTTGAAAGAAAAACAGTTTCAGACTTTGAAATATTTGTATGATAAAATATTCTTCAAAGAAAAGTTGGTAAACCGGGAACTTGAAAGTAGTTCCAATGGCGGACTTCGTCATACAGCCGAGGCTAGATGTAGGGTACTGGAGTCTTCTGAGGCGTGCCGAGCGCTCTGCGGGTTAAAAGGATAACGGCTAAAAATGAAAACAAAGCAAAGTAATGTTTAATTTGAATAACAAAACACCGAGTTTCAACACACGTCTAACTAGACACGTCTATGTTATTTTAATATGGCCTTCAAAAATTGAGAGTAAAATCATAACAGTTACTCCGATCAATATTCCAACATTTGTCATGATAAATATGGTCATTGATGGCGGATGTACTAACTTCGGCAACTGAAATAAAAAGGAGTATAAAATGTCTTTTAAAAGAAACCTACCCAAAGCGTGGAATACGCCCACACAGCAGCTTTGTCTGAACTGCAGCTTATCCGGAGAAAACTCACGAGGTTGGACAGGCAACCCTACTCCTTGTCATGTACAACCGGGGAATCGAAACCACGCCAGCTGACTCAATGACAGACTTTATGATACAGCGCGCACGTGCTAACCATTCGGCCATCCAACCCTCAATCCTCTTATGGACCCATAGCTCCCAACCAAGACTTTATCAGGCCGCTCACACAGTTTTCGCCAAAGGATGGGGGGGGCGTATCTCGGGAACGGAAGGCTGTGCGGAGATCACTGACTCACAATTCTTCAAGAAAAATATGAAAAGGATTATACATAATAAATTGTGATTAGGCTGCAGTGGAGGAAAGATGGAGCGCGAGACACTGTCCTCAACTTCGCCCTAGTGCTCTCGTTTTTTTTTCTTTCTGCTCTCTAAAGCAACAAAGCAATTGGTGCGTAGTGGGTCGTTTAGCTTGGTCTCTCGTCCAATTACCCCGCGCTTTCGCACGATCCAAGACTTGATGGAAACGGTGGAGCGATGGACCGAGATACTTTGTTAGAATTAAACGTTGGAATTGCTTTACCAGCCAACGATACCCTTTCTAAATTTTAACTCTATACTCCACCGAAGATAACATTTTATTATCATACACATTAATGTCAAATTTTATATGTAAATTTAGGATTTTATGAAGATTTCTACTAAATGAAAATGAAATGGGGTTGGCTGGTAAAGCAATTCCAACGTTCTTAATTCTCACAAAGTATCTCGGTCCATCGCTCCGACTAGGCCATGCAATGTGCTTTGAGGGAAATTTCGCTACGGTCTACTATTAATTCGAATTCCAACCGCCAAGCGAGCCAACTTTCTACCCCCCTGAGCCACAGTGGCTCCCTGATTTAAACAGTTATATAGATATAATATAAGGTTATAAACTTACTATGTCGGTTAGAGCAATGTAAATAAACATGCCAGCCGTTGCAGCAAATATCCATTGTCTAGCAAGTGGATCTGTAGCCACAGACAATCCAATATACAGGCCAGCAAAACTGGTTAACGCGGAAGCCATGTTCCAGAAAACAGCATTTCTAAATCTCATCTTTGTTTGTAATAAAACAGCAAAGTCTCCTAAAAAATACAACAGATGTGATATTAACTTGGAAAAAATCTAACCTGATAAAAACACAGATCCTATTCCATTTCGGTTTTTTATAGTTCAAAATTTCGATTTACCATCGAACGTAAAAAAAAAAATGAAACAAAATACAGATTAGCTTGGTCGCCGGGGAGACATTCCTCACGGGGTCAATCACTTTGAATTGCACATGACGTCAGAATTTTTGGACCAAACCCAACCCTAACCGTAACCCTAGCCCTAGCACGCTGTGCGTGTCAGTGTCGTTAAAATTAAACCATCATCTCGTTTATCAACGCGAGATTTCGTCAATTCACCATGGCCGGTACTGTGAGGAATGTCTCCCTTGTGCAAAATTTCTGTATTTTACCCCGATTGGAAAAAGTCCTAGATACAACTCTTATATATTCTTCTGGTGGTTATAGACTTCAATCAGATTTTGAGTAAAAGCGAAAATAAGTAAAACTTTAGTTAGCTGTGACGGTTTCTTCTTTGAGAATGAATAATTCGTTTTTAATAATAAGCCTGTTATTAAATGGGGTTTAACGTCCTACTGTTCTGCTCTGAACTGGGCTAATAAAGACGGGCATACGCCATACATTCTGCTATAAGGGTAATTTTGCCAGGACAGCGGGACAACGGCCTACTCTTATATTGAATTCCAACCGTCAAGGGATCTTTTACGTGTACGCCAATGTGTACACGGGGCCTCGGTTTTTTCGTCCCATCCGAATGACTAGACAGCTGTTCTTGTCAGGCCCTCTATCCTGCATCGCTAACAAGGGGGAACTACGCCGGAAAATCTGGATGAACTATTTTGGCCAAAGCAGGGATCGAACACCCGACCTGGAGGCTAGCGAGCCAGCGTCTTACCCACTTGCCACCGTGACCCCCCTAGCCTGTTATGAACAGTATGGTAAGTACTATCTTCAATAGACGGATAGATCTCACTTGAACTCCACACATCTTATCAAGGCCTCAACGTAATACGCTACATTTTATGTCACTCATTTCGATTGGTCATTGACCTAGCTCCCGGCCTCTCCGATTCTTCGATAGAAGATAGCATCGCGAATACCGAGTCTCGCGCTTTCCAACTGAAATGGCTAGCTGTGATAATCGAGTTGCAAAGTTCAAGGGTGCTGGAACGTTTCCACTTTCCATCTTAGTCCAAACCTTTCTAATTTATTTTTCTGATCTTATGTTATGTTAGTAAGGTTGATTTTTCTTTGGTTTTCCATGAGTTTTTCAATTAAAAAAGGTTTTCAATGGCTGTAAATGAAACCGTTCCTTTATGTATTTGCATCACGTGTCTGGGGATAAAGGGAGACAATTTAATGTACACAGCAACCTAAAAGTTTGCGAACTCTAGCAACGGCTAGGTGTGTAAAACTTGCAGTTGTAGATTCACGACCATGGGCAAGTACCTACCTAATTCATGTGGTAATTCGTGACAAAATACAGCTATAGTAACACCAACACCTTCAGTTAAACTCTGTGTGAAAGCAGCAGCTATAGCTAAACCATCAGCAAAGTTATGTATACCATCACCGATAATTATCATGAGGGCAAGGTGATTTAAATCTGAAATATAGAAGAAGAATACTATACGAGAGGGGGGTTGGGTGCTCTAATGGTTTTGAGTCACGTGGAGTGGTTTCCCCCAACTAAAATAAAATTGAACCATTGTTAGGACCTGGTGAAACCCCACGAGTTTTGTTACATACATGTTCAAGCGGGGAATGGAAACCACACCATTTGCCTCAATGACAGACCTTTTGATCTAACAAGCGCGTTTTACCCATTCGGTCACCAAACCCCACCTATCGTTTTTAAGAGTCCGCTTCGGTTATAGGCATTATCCTTGTTACCGGAAATGTAAATACCCACTAATGTAAAAGACATTTCTATCTAATTTGTTTATCTTCTGACTCGATATTGTGTTGTGACGCCACTTTCTGATTAATTTTTTCATTTTCTGATTCTATATTGCATTATCACACCACTATGACCTCATAGCAACCATTTGACCCTATCATCTGATTCCATGATATCACTTTTATAGCGTTCATGGGATATTGGTAAAGGGAGATCACTCCAGAACGGAAAGTAGACGATGGGGGGGGGGGGGAGGGGCGCTGAATTGATAAACTCCATCGATCCTCTTAAGATCAAAAGGCTCCACAACAAAAATTGAAAAGAATTCATTGAAAACGAAAGACTTTATCGAGAGTTGATTATGGTCTTGGTTATGTCTAATTAATAATTCAGATAACATTTAAGGCCCAAAGTAAGACCTGCAATCGGCAGATTTAGCTCTTACATAATGTATGTTTAATAAGAAGCCTATATTTAAAAAATGTCATGTCATGTGATCTTACATAACTATATATTTGATATATTTGATATACAAAAAAAAAAAGAACATTTGTATTTCTAAGGACAAAATGGCGACGACTTATCACCGATTGGCTACATAGATATACTTATGGCTTATATTTCCATAAAACAAATATAGCTATTATTTACATAAAACAAATTACTAGTAGGTCGTATAACTTTTAACATATCACTGACGACATAAACTAAAGCTTGACCTATAATTTGTGTGTTTCAAGGATTATATAAATATTCTAAGTCCGAGTCGTTGAGAAATACGATGGATTTTAAGATTACATTTTATTGACAGTGTAAATATAAAGTTGGGTCTAATAGGCGACACTTTAAAACATTAAAGATACATTATTGGAGATTAGATAAAGAGTTGGTAGTTCTCACTATAATATTTAAAAACTAGATAATGTAAAGGATATGTTACTGTATTTAAAGATACATTATGGGAGATTTGATTAAGAGTTGGCAGTTCTCACTGTAATAGTTCAAAACCAGATAATTTGAAGGGAATTTGCTGAAAATTTCAGTCAAATTGATCCACTTTGAACCGAGAATTTAGCGATTGAATTTTGGGCCTAGCCTCGATCACCATTACTAAAGTCGGTACGATAAAAAAACATAGTCTCGATTATCCCATTTCATGATTTAATCACGAATGAAAGTTGAGCAGCTGATCGGATTATAATCCAGTAAATATCACAGGCTAGCGATACAACCAACAGTTGATTATGGTCTGGATAAGTTAATTAATGTCTAATTAATAATTTATAAAACATTTCAGGCCTAAAGAAAGACCTGCAATAGGCAGATTTAGCTCTTGCATAATGTATATTTCAGATAGCTATTGTTAATAAAATAATTATCAATACTTGAAAATATGTAATATGGTTTAGTCAAATCTTCTATCCTGCCAATTTGAATGAGGCGGGTGGGGTGTTCTGTTTCGCTAGGCAGAAAATGCTCATTATCGAACTTAGTCAAGGTACTGATGTAATAAAACTATACACCAAGTTTCATCACTCTCACTTAATTAGAACTAAAGTTATCGTGTCACAATTGTTTTTCTTTGATTACTTTATATTAAACCTTTAAAAAATGAAATGAAACGGCGTTTAACGCCCTACTGTTCTTTGCCTACTGGGCTAATGAGGTCGGGCATATGCCATGATGAGGGAAATTTTGCCCATCCAGCAATGGTCTACTCTTATATCAAATTCCAACTGTCAATTCCAACTACGCATTGTCCCTTTCCAGGCCCCCGTCCAACACGACTAACTCGGGGGAGCCACATCGGAAAATCCAGATGAACTTTCTCAGTCAGCGCAGGGATCAACACGGAATCAACGTCTTACTCAACGTCAACGTCTTACTCAACGTCAACGTCTTACTCAACGTCAACGTCTTATCAAAATATCAATAAAATTAGCAAAACAAGTCATGCTCACTTTTCTTCTTCTTCTTCGGTTCCTGAAAAAATAACAATACCATGATGTTATGAAACATGAAATTAAATGGGGTTTAACGTCCTACTGTTTTGCTGCTAAACTGGGCTAATGAACACGGGCATACGCCATACAGTGTGCTATGAGGGAAATTTTGCCCGGGCAGGGGCACTAACGCCTACTCTTATATCGAATTCCAACTGTCAAGGGATCTTTTACATGCATTCCAATGTATACGGGACCTCGACTAGGTCTTTTCGGAGCGGTTCAGTTTTATTTCAAAACGTGGTTCAATTTGATTTCATTAGTTAAAATGTTAAAACAGTAACTTTGTGGAAAGATTCATTAAATTCATTGGACTAAAGAGTGGCCCACCCCACCGTAAAAAAAACAAAAACAATTCCCCAAAATTAGATGCAACCAACAACACCACCCCATAACGGGGGTTGGATGTTTGGCCGAATGGTTAGCGTGTGTGTTGTATCATAAGGTCTGTCATTGGGTCAACTGGCGTGGTTTCGATTCTAAGGTTGTACGTGACAAGGAGTAAGGTCGCCTGTCCAACCTCGTTGGTTTTCTCCGGGTCCTGCGAGTTCCTACCACTGCTAAAGACCCCTACGCGCAATAAATAAAACTGAACCCTGTTAATCCTGAATTACCTAGTTTAAGTCGAGTGGATGTTAACCCCTCTCTCTCCACCCCATAACCGACTTGTATACTGTACACGGTTTTGTCTTGCTTCATGCAACTAATCTATGTTAGCATCAAATTCATGCAAGCGCGCAAGAAATTTCTAGCATATTATACTAGGCTTTCTTGCTTGAATAAACCAGCGAGCGAGAGAGAGAGAGAGAGAGAGAGAGAGAGAGAGAGAGGCGGGGAGACTTTAAGTCATTTTAACACTATCCGGGGACTAAGAAAAGAAATAAAATAAAATGGGGTTTAACGTCCTGCTGTTCTGCTCACACTGGGCTAATGAAGACGGCCTTACGCCATGCAATGTACTAAGAGAAAAAATTTGCCCAGAAAGCGGCGCTATTATTTCGAAGTCCAACTGTCAAGGGTTATTTAACGTGCATGACAATGTATACACCTGACCTCGGTTTTTCGTCCCATCAGAATGACTAGACGGCAGTCCCTTGTCAGGCCCTCTGTCCTGCATCACTGACACGGAGGAACCACGTCGGGTTATCCTCATGAACCTTTTCATCCAACGCAGGGATCGAACACGGGACTTTTAGGTAAGCGATTCAATGTCCTACTCACTGAGTCACGGGACTAAGATATAGTGTTGTATTTATTGGTCAGTGCTAAATAATAAGGTTAGCTCAATTTTTCTTAGAAGAACAGTAGGACGTTAAACCCCATTTCATTTGAATTTTTCGTGGGGGTCACAGTCATTAGGTGGGTAAGACGCTGGCTTGCTGGTAAACAAGGCTAACGCTAATCCCAACCCTAACCCTGGACCTAGCCCCAATGTTTCAGGAACATGATCCTAACCTACAATCTCGCCAACAATCACGTGCCATAACCTTATTTACATCTCAACGACCTTGACAAAAATTGAGCTGGCCTTAACAAATAGATTTAGCCGTATTGAAGAGTGCATATTCTGTACATACATTTACCCAGTTCCCAACATTAGTGCCTTCTTTTCCAACGCCATTACTTGTGCTTTCTTTTCCAACGCCATTACTTGTGCTTTCTTTTCCAACTTTGTCTTCGTCGTCGTCGTCGTCACTCGGCCAAGTATGCTACAAAAACAGACCATTTAAATTTAAATGCCTTCAAAATGATAGCCTTGTGCGATAAGATACCCTCTTTGTATGCAGTAATAAAAGGTTTATGTGCTTATTATTTCCACACAAATGAGTTTCTATAAATTGATAACCACAGTGTTATATGTACTCTTGTTATAAACATATCATTATCGTTATATGTCATAATTTTATTGCAAGACGTGTCACAACAAGTAGGATGTTTACGAGAGATCTCCTTAATGGCTAGTCTCTATCATCCAGAAAAATATTCTACAATTATTAGTGTGGACGTGTTGGCTAGATTATCCAGTCTTTTACATTATAATAAACAAAGTCTAAGGGGGTAACAATCAAGATGTCGACGCCCATGAAATGGATATTAGTCTGGATGTGTTGTCATCTGTCAACATTTGAGAATAATGGGTCCATTGGCTAGACTATCCAGCCTTTTACATTATAATAAACAAAGCCTAAGGGAGGTAACTAGTCCTAAAACAAAATGTCGACGCCCATGAAATTAATTTAAGAATGCAATTTCAGAAAATTCATTCGATTACCATTGCCATTCGATTACCATTGCCATTTCAATCTCCAACACTCTTAATTTTTTTATTGTAAAATTTCTCTCTTATGGGTCATATTTATGGGTGTTTTTTTTTAAAAATTAATCCTAATTCGTCGTCACGATTCATGTTTGTTTATATTAATGCAAGAATTATGGGATTTATATCGGGAAGCGATGGGCAATGGAACATTTCGTCAAATACTGATAACGGTCCCAGACCCCCCGTACGTTGAAGACTAGGAGGTTCTGGGTGACCTAGACTACTTAATAGCAAAAGACCTAGGGGGTACTCGATTGAACGTGACAATCGAGTGAAAAGGTGGATTTCGGGCTACAACGCATGCGTCGACTGAATAAGTAAATATCTCAACCAACCATGCAGCCGAAACATATTCGTTGTGTTTAATTACGTCACGATTCTACTCACTCCACCTCCGTGGCCGGGACTGACAGAACTGTGACAGGACTGAATTCCGCTTTACTCGATTGCAATTTTGTCAATTCTGGACGTTCTGGACTGTGAATCGAGCACCCCCCCCCACCCCTATTAGGTAAAGTTTCCTTGTTGAAAATATAAATAAACTTACAGAATGTCCAGCCATTCCGAATATTGTTTCTAGGAGATAAAACACATAGATACCTGGAAACAAATATTAATATTTTACATTTTATAACTTTCATTGTAAATGTGAAATCTATAAACACAATTTTAAAATTCACCATGCAAGATACACCCTCATTTTGCAAGAGATGGACGAGAATACGTCATATAAATATTTTTTTTCGTACAATAAGGGGCTATAATCAAGGAGCTCACGGCCAAGTGCTTCAATATCAAACGGAACCGAGATCATTGGGTTATAAATATACATTTTTAGTTTCATCAAAATCGTGATCTCTAGATTGCCCACAAGCTAAAGATACGATTTTCGCAAAATCCAGCTTAACCGGAGCGGGGCCCTGGGCCTGACTAGAATCGCAGGGATCCTAACGCGACGAAAAGATTATTTTATATCCTATTGAATGGCACGCATGCGTAACACACAATTAAACGGTCTGAAATACAAGAATAATTACATTATATCTGATCACATACGAAATCCATTCAGTTCTGAATGGCATACAATGCGCGGAAATGACATATAACGGCGGGGAAATATTATAACAAGTGAAATCACCGATCACCGAGAAGGTTGAGGGCTAGTTCAGTCTCAACCCTCGCGGCGCTAGATCGATTACCGTGAAACTTTCATCTGGAATTTGATTTTTTTTATCTCTTTGCCTAAACTGCGGGGCATGCCTAAGCCGGGATTTGGATTTTCGTACAATCAGAGGCCACAGTCCAATATGGAAAGGCACCGAGATCTTTCGGATATAAACCTATATTTCAAGTTTCGTCTAAATTGGAAAATAATTTTGAAAATTCCCTCCATCGCCATATTCAAAGTTAATATGATATTTAGGGTTATAAATAGAATAAGGCGAATGTCCAAGTTGTTGTGACTACTTCTGGAGCTCTTTGACCTAGTCACTCACTCGGCAAACCTCGGCAGATTCCGATATTCTACATCTGGCCTCGACTGTATGACGGTCAATGATATGTACCCACACCTATACAATTGCGATGCGGCACCAGTTTACTTATTAGAAATTAGGAAGACCTGCCGCTTTTAGAAAGAAGTTCTCAAAATTGCGTCGTTCGAAGAATAAGTACAATTTTCAGTGCAAATTTTTCAAGAAAAACAGCTTCAGAATGCTATAGCTTTGTATGATAAAACATTCTTCAAAGGCGTCGGCATGGGCGACGCCGTTGGTAATCCGGGAACTTGAAAGTAGTTCCAATGGCGGACTTCGTCATACAGTCGAGGCTAGATGTAGGGTACTTGAATCTGCTGAGGTTTGCCGAGTGCTAGTCACTGTTTTCATTGTTTCCGCCATTTTGTGAAGGTTAGCACGTGACTCAACCTCGATCTATTATTATAATTTTCTTACTTCCAATAGCAGCGAAGGCATACCATACAAAAGATTCAATAACTATTTCACCGGACCCATGGTCATGGCCGTCGTCCTCACTGTGCTTGTGGATGCCAAAAGCCTAAAAATAAAATATTATCAATGTAAATAAATTGTTCAAAATTTTGGAGAACAAGTTCATTCATAACACAAGGTACAATTTTATGGATACACAATTACTAAGTTTAATACTAAGCAACGTTTCGACGAGGATACTCTCTTCTTTATCAAGCAAATGATACAGGTATGTGAATCAAATGATACAGGTATGTGAATCAAATGATACAGGTATGTGAATCAAATGATACAGGTATGTGAATCAAATGATACAGGTATGTGAATAGTAGGCAAATGTATGCATATTCCTATATATTTGCCCACTATTCACATACCTGTATCATTTGCCTGATAAAGATGAGAGTATCCTGGCTTGTGGTCGTGGTTTCGATCTCGGGTGTGAGCGTATGTGGCTTGGAGATAGAGGCTCCTTCTCAACCTCGTGGGTTTACTCCAAGTACTCCAGTTTCCTCCCACAGGAAGGACCCCTACGCATACACTAAGATAATAAAAAAATAAGACAAATTTGATGGAAGCGGGCGTTAAACACTAATAAAAGATGAAGATGGGTGATTATATATAATTGCCGCCTTGCCGGTGTTCTAATCACCAACATAATCCTCAGACTGGATGTCAGAAACAAAACAAGTTACCTCTGGTATCAGATGAAGTAAGGCGTCACTAGTCAATGTACCAACAGCTAAACCCATAAACACGGCCATAAAAGCATCATAACATCTATTTTTACTAAACGGAAACAAGATGGCGCCGAATAGAGCACACAAGGTAATAATGAATACCGCTAAAGTCGAATAACCATAACCTGATAGAAAAATAAAATCATTATTTTAAATAAATTAAAGAAATCTTTGGAGGTCCCTTTTGTTATGGGAACATAATATTTATGTCTATCTCAAAGGCATGAAGCATGATTTACATCCAATCAGATTAAAATACAGATTTATATTTCGTTTCGTTTTTTTATACTTTCGACGGCCTTTACTACAGGAAGATCTGACCAGTTGTAGTAGGAGGTCGCGTCAGGGGTCATCCGATCGGATTGATTAATGGTTTCTAGTGGTTTACCCACAGTTTCGTGCATGGCAAGCCAAGAATTCGCCGTAACAGAACGTTTTAGTGGCTAATCCCTCATGTCAACCAGAACACGGGTTATATAACAACTCTTCCAGATCCTAGTATAGTAAAGACAAGTAGAACGAAATTTTGAACTATAAAAAACGAAACGAAATAGGATCTGTGTTTTAATCAGAGTATATTTCATCAAGGTAAATGGTACTCTGTTTTCTTAGAATAAATGCGGAACTTTAAATAGGCGTACGAGACGGAATCGAAATCTGGGAGTTATACTGACCATTGGTTGGGGGGGGGGGGGTCCAGAAAATCACACAATTCTGATTTTGATTGCCGATCGGGCGCTACCTGGTAAAATTATGTAGGTTCATTTTTCGGGCACTGCCGCCGTATCTTTGAGGGGAAAATGATACAGCCCCTAAAGAAAATTGGCCCGTACGCCTATTCTTTTCATTATTATTTGATTTTCCAGTCGAATAAATTATACATTATGAAAGAGCTATATCTGCCTATTGCAGGTCTTTCTTTAGGCCTGTAATGTTATCTTAATTATTAATTAGACATTAATTAGCTTATCCAGACCATAATCAACTCTCGATGCCATCACTAGCCTGTGATATTTACTGGATTAGGATCCGATTTGCTGCTCAACTTTCATTTATGATTATATCATGAAATGGATAATCAAGACTATGTTTTTTATCGTACCGACTTTAGTAATGATGATCGAGACTAAATCGAAACTTCAATAGCTAAATTCCTGTTTCAAAGTGGATCAATTTCACTGAAATTTTCAGCAAATCCGCTTTAAATTATCTAGTTTTTAACTATTATAGTGAGAACTGCCAGCTCTTTATCTAATCTCCCATAATGTATATTTAATAGACTATATTTTAACATACGTTCTGCTTCTGTTGGTGTTTGAGCATCATCATGATCAGTAGTAGCTTTACACGCCTCCGATGTTTGTTGATAGATTAAAGCTGGACAAAGCTCGGTAAAGTCTGTTTTAGATATTGGTGCCGTAGCATCAAATATAGTTAATAGCTGGTCTGCACTATAACATGACTTGGTCTACAGAAATACAATAATTCGATTAGTTTCACCGGGAATTTATAGTTATCTATGAATTTGATAATATTTTTATATATATATATAAAATTCTATGGTACCTCGGTCGTATTCTCTATCTCTCTAGGGGGGTTGGCTGGCCGAATGGTTAGTATGTGCGCGCTGTATCATACGATCTGTCATTAAGTCAACTGGCGTGGTTTTGATTCCCCGGTTGTACATGACAAGGAGTAGGGTCGCCTGTCCAACCTCGTGGGTTTTCTCCAGGTCCTCCGGTTTCCTCCCACTGCTAAAGACCCCTACGCGCAAGCGAATTATTGAAATAAAATTGAACCATGTGTTGGTCCCGAAATGATCTAGTTTGTGTCGAGTGGACGTTAAACCCCATTTCTCTCTCCCTCTCTCTCTCTCTCTCTCTCTCTCTCTCTCTCTCTCTATCATCCACTGGGAAGCAGTTTATAACTTACTGTAGCATGGTCGTGTTCATCGTGTTCATCCACAGCACGTTTTGACCGTTTGATATTCTCTGATCTTGTACTTCTCTTTTTCCTTTCGTTATGAATATGTGCATCTTCTACGGTTGCAGATGGTGATATAGCCAACTTTGTTAATAATTCTTTGAATTCTGTATTTTAAAATAATATATAAGATATGGAAACTCGGAATTTACTTGTGATTGAGTGCGCCCTTCAAAGCCCAGCTTAGGCATGGGCCTGCTGGGCCCAGGCCCAGGGCCCCGCGGTTTAGGGGGTCCCGCGGTTCATGGCAAAAGGAGAAAAAAATTCAAATTCCTGATGACAGTTTGATGGTTATCAATCTAGCGGCGCGAGGGCGGAGACTGAGCTATCCCTCAACCCTCAAAAGGGCGACCCCGCGATTCTAGTCAGGCCCAGGGCCCAGCTCCGGTTAAGCAGGGCTTTGGTGCCCTTCAGAACCGGGGCAGCCACCCCCTATACTAATTTGTAAATATGTGCTCCTTTATTTCCCCATGACAAGCCCACAGATAATCAATTTTGCTTCATAGACCTCTCAAGTCTATCTTCAGTACACGGATATCCGTTTCGCTGTGCACAAAGCAGACCCTTATACATTTCATAAGTCGCAACCTACTTTCGATCTCAACTAGATGTTTGCCTTCCTCATTCCTTTTTCCATTCTAGCGACTTTACACCTGCGCATTATATGTATATAAAATAATATTGTACAGGCACAATTACCTTCTTTGCTTAATGTGTTGTTAACACTATGAAAGGCCTCGAAAAGTTCGTCAATAAAAAATGTTTTCTTTGGTAATAGACGACACTTATGTTTTATTTCTGAACCTGAAATAAATTTTAAATATAAATAGATCTATATTGTGTTTATTCATTCCACATACCATATAAATATATATTATATGTATAGCGTAGACATCTTGGTTATCTTTCTGACTCAGTCAACAAATTGTATGAGAATACCAATTATGTCCTTCATGGTTACTTGCCCAAGATAAATATACATTTCATTTGAAAAGGATTGAATTTCAAGAGCTACCCCGTCATTCGAGATATTGTCACTATATGTATTCTACATCTACTGTATATCCCTTTTGAGATGCTATCAACCAAACTATAATTAACTATCTGCAAAGTTTGAAATAATAGTCTAATGGAGAGAGGGTATTAACTGGTAAAAATCCCCTACACATAAGTGGACGTTAAACCCCATTTCTTTCTCACTCTCTCTAGATGTGAAATATAGAATGGTTAAGACGTGGATAGAATCTGAAGTTAAATGTTATAATTTATTAATGTCGCTAGCTGTCACAGATATGAAGACTTCTAAAAGAGAGAGAGAGAGAGAGACGGGGGAGGGGTAACGTCCACTCGACACAAACTAGGTCAATATCGGGACTAACATATGGTTCAATTTTATTTCAATTATTCGCTTGCGTGTAGGGGTCTTTAGCAGTGGGAGAAAACCTGAGGACCGGGAGAAAACCCACGAGGTTGGACAGGCGACCCTACTCCTTGTCACGAACAACCGGGGAACCCAACCCACGCCAGTTGACTCAATGACCGATCTTAAGATACAACGCGCAAACGCTAACCATTCGGCCATTGAGCCCCACCAATCCCCCGAATATTAAAGGAGCTAAGCCTCTAACTCAATACTATCCATAATATTCGAAATTAAGAACACGAATTAGAATTCAAGATTGGTCTATTTCAATCATTATTGATGTTATTATCATACTGTGAACATACTGAACCCTATTATGTAAGACACAATGAACATATTAATATCAGTACACTAGTTGTCAGCGCCATTTGTAATAAATAAAAAAAAACATATCCCAGACGACAATGAAGAGGTAATTAAAAATGGCTACTCACAAATGACAGAATAATAATAGCAAAATGAGTAGAATGGACTTAGTAGGGGCAAATCACTGTCGTTTAACTCTAACAGTTTTCGTATTTCACCGAATATAATTGATTGGTAATTACAATTTAAAAAAAGTAAAAAGTAAATCACTTTATATATCATTTTCATTTTAGCCTCATTTTCGTCTATTTCAAGGCTCTAAAGAATAGAGTTATACGCCCTTTAAATACAAATGATCGATCTACCAATTGGGGCTGATGACTGGGTAGGGAATGCTATTATATTAATTTATATTTCAAATTTGTTAAATACTTACTTGAAAAGAAATGGTAAATTAATAAAGCGGCAACTTCATGGAAATGATCCTCTTTAACAGTTTCTGTGCCATTTCCAAGGTAATTAATAATTACATCGGCAGCCAAACACTTTATATAAAACAAATAGAATATGGAATAATAAATTATCACTTTACCCATTAGAATGTGAAACAATTTAAAGATACATTATGTAAGATTTAGATAAAGAGCTGACCATTCTTGCTATAATAATTCAAAAATAGATTTCATCCAAATTACTCTATTGCGAGCATAGATATTAGCCTTTGAAGGTTTGACAAGACGTGTGCAATAATTTGAACCACCGTACTGGTTGTTCGAAGCTAAGCCTCGTTCCTCCATTTTTAGCTTAAATCAAAATATGGCTGAACTGTTCTAATCTATTTAATATCGGAGAAATCCGATGCCATCGAGAGTTGATTATGGCCTGGATAAGTTAATTAATGTCTAATTAATAATTTAGATAACATTTCAGGCTTAAAGAGAGACCTGCAATAGGCAGATATAGCTCTTGCATAATGTATGTTTAATAGTTTATATAACATTTCTCGGCCTAAAAAAAGACCTGCAATAGGCTGATTTACCTCTTGCATAATGCATGTTTTATAAATCAAAAGATATATTATTTTATACAGGTATATTAAGGTAGATAAAGTACAAGTACTTCTATATTTATGGTAGATAAATACATAAATAAATAATAAATACGTCCAGGTAATAAATTCACCGGCCACTTCATTCTAACATATATTAAATCATATAAGCTAGCATATTTATATTGAATTACAATTAATTAAGACATGATAAACTCTATTGGTCATATGTAAATATTACATAATAGAGGGTAACCTTTAACCACATGCAGGCACATTTATATACCTTACTGAGAAGGGGGGGGGGGGAGAGAGAGAGAGAGAGAGGGGGGTTAACGTCCACTCGACACAAACCAGGTCATTTAGGGCCCAAAACATGGTTTATTGAAAATAAGATTGAACCATATTATGTTAGTCCCGAAATGACAGTTTGTGTTGAGTGGACGTTAAACTCCCCCCCCCCCCTCTCTCTCGCTTTCTCTCTCTCTCTAGTTATGAATATAGTGCACAATGCAGTTGATTGTAAACACAGTCCTTACCTCTTCCTCGAAAATTAGAACTTCATTTTCATCGTGTTCATGCTCGTCTTCATCAACAGGGACATAGGTAAGGTTCACGACTTCAATAAATTCTTCTAAATGTTCCCCATTCGTTTCGTTCGCTAGTCCTGGCACAACTAGAGATTGGGTGAAATTTGTTTTATAAAAATCCAAAGTATATTGGGTAACATCCACTTGTTGACGGCAGAAGACGGCAGCATTCTGTACATAGTACAATAGCACCACAGCCAAGTCCTCAAACTGTGCCTCTTGGATTCCAACTGCTACGTCTCCATTTACAATGGTAATAACTTCTGAATTGACTTCTGATGTGTTAAAACACTGAAAATATAACAATATGGCCACAGATCACTAATATTTTCCCTATCGACTTAATTAAATGTTAATTCTCGTCTCTTAGACCGGCCCTAACTTTTTCCCAAATTTTCGTTGGGTAGAATGCTTTCTACCACAGATAAAGCAACATGTAGCAAACTCTTGCTCAAAAGCATGTATGAGGTTCACCATGGAAAACTTGAGATACACAAGCTGGAGGTAAAGACAACTAAACATGCAATTTTCGGCCCGACATTTCAACCTAACCAACCGCTCAACTCTTGTATCCTTCCGCCTCAAAATCATGAATATTCACCAAAACCTGGCAGAAAAAGTATTTTCAAACACTTTTCTTTAATTCTACACCAAAAAGTCAACAAAAACCGCCATGAAAAAGGGGGGGGGGGGGAGGGAAAGGGAAAGAAAGACTAAAAATAACTTTCGCCCTACATTCGTAGAAATATTTGGTGATCTGTGTCCGTATAGAATTTTACCAACGATTACATTTGTATAATGTTAAGCCCATGTCCCTCACGTTCCAGGATAACAAATGAAATGAAATGGGGTTTAACGTCCTACTCTTCTGCACCTAACCTGGGCTAATTGAAGACGGGCATACGCCATACAGTGTGCTATGAGGGAAATTTTGCCCGGGCAGCGGCGTTACGGCCTACTCTTATATCGAATTCCAACTGCCAAGGGATCTTTTACGTGCACGCCAATGTGTACACGGGACCTCGGTTTTTCGTCCCATCCGAACGACTAGGCAGCTGTCCTTGTCAGGCCCTCCGTTCTGCATCACTGACAAGGGGAAACCACGCCGGAAAATCGAGATGAACTTTCTCGGCCAATGCAGGGATCGAACACCCGACCTCCAGGCTAGCGAGCCAGCGCCTTACCCACTTAGCCACGTGATCCCCCTCCAGGATAACAAAGGCATACCAAAATATGATTGCATTTAACTACCTTTGCCAGGTATTGTCAAGGTAAGATAAATTATTTTTAGATTATATATTTTTCATCAGTTTAAGTATTACATGTTGATCATATCAAATGTGGATACTGTTGATTTTGTTCCTAAAGACAGCTATAAATAGAAAAATTTAATGACGGTATACAAACGACCTGATTAAAACACGGACCCTATTTCGTTTCGATTTTTTATGGGTCAAAATTTCGTTGTATTTGTCTTTAGTACACTAGGATCTGAATGATGTGCGGGATTAGCTAATGAAACGGTCTGTTACGACGGGTGTTTGGCATGAGTTGCACGGAACTGTGGGTAACCCACTAGAAACAAAAATGGCAATTGGTTAATCAAATGTCTAACGTCATAGGGTCAAAAGCCGCTCGTATGACTGCTGACGCGACCTTCCACTACAACTGGTCAGATCTTCATGAGGCCATCGAAAGTATAAAAAAAACACCGAAATATAGATTTGTATTTTAATCAGATTGGTATAGAAACAGGATATACAAATCTCCTTTCAAAATTACTACCCAATATTCAAAACACAATGAACATTTTAAAATCGGTACACGAGTCGTGTGGTCTATGGTTTCAGGCGCCATTTGTAATAAACAAAGAAACCCTATATCCTACAAGATAATGCGGAAGTAATTAGTAATGGCTGATTACCAAACGACAAAATACTAAAAACGTGTAGAATGGCCTAAGCAGGCGTAAACGATTGTCGTTGGATTTGGACTGTTTACGTATTTCCCCGAACATAATTGATTAGAAATTTTAATAAATTTGTTGAAAATTGAATATAAATCACTTTATATACATTCATGTAAAATTAAGAAATTATTTTTTAATTTTAATATTTAATGATATATAAAAGTTACCGATAAAACGCCGAAAATGAAACATAAAGTCAATTTTTTGTTTAAAATGTTGATTTTGTGCATGAAATGTTGACATAAGAATGTAGAAACAAGAATCTTTAGTTTAGAATGTTGCGTTCGTGTCTAAAATGTTCAAACAGGAATGTAGAAACGAGAATCATAAATATTGTCCCATTTGGTATTCCATATCATGTAAGATTAATGTGTTCTTTTAGAACCATTTTCGTCTAAATTAAGGTTCCAAAAATTAAAGCCCGCATACACCCTTTGAAATTTAAGCTATCAACGTAATCTTGTATCGATACATGTTTATCTGAACAAAACATGTTTTATAATTGTTATGTATTTCATTCCATGTTAAATATAATTACTATATTTATATTATACAGTTTGTAGTCAACAATAAAATAAAACGGCTGACTTGAAAGAAGTTTATGAGTTTTATTGACTGAAACACAACAGTAATGCCATTTTGCACAAAGAGATCATTCTACTTCATACTTCGAGAATAGATCAACGCTGGCTCTCTAGCCTGGAGGTCGGGTGTTCGATCTCTACATTGGTCGAGAAAGTTCATCCAGATTTTCCGGCGTGCCCCTCCTCCCCCTGTCAGTGATGCAGGACGGAGGACCTGACAAGGACAGCTGTCTAGTCGTTCTGATGGGACGAAAACCCGATGTCCCGTGTACACATTGGGGTGCACGTAAAATTTCCCTCATCGTGTCCGTCTTCATTAGCCCAGTTCGGAGCAGAACAGTAGAGCGTTAAACCCCATTTCATTTCATGTCATGTCGTTAGGTAAATAATTTAACCAATACAGAACAGTTTTAATCGGTGATATTTATTATCTCGTTTAAAATGACTTTCAACAACGCATACAGGTATGTAAATAAGTATGACTGGTATATAATTACACACACGTTTACAGAGAGAGCTATAAATAGGTTGCCAGGCAACGAAAGACACACCTACCAGGTAAATAGGTCGCTCTATTGAAGCCTTAAAACAGAATTCTCTAGAAGTTTACGTGAATCTATTGCGACCATTTGAACAATGGTAGGTCTGGGGTAAAGTTCAACAAATCTGTTTTCTTAAATAAAGAATGCGTGTTGTATTTATAAACATGTTTACGTACAAATGAAGGAGGTATTTTACCTGGGTACAGGTGTATCGTTTAATCTATTATATACCGGATTTATACACTATCCCATTATAATACACACGCCACACCCCAATCCCATCATATACACGGGGGGTTGGATGGCCGAATGGTTAGCACGAGTGCGCTTTATCATAAAGTCTGTCATTAAAGATGGGTTCTCGCGTACAAACTGGGTGATTTAATGGTATATATGGACCAAAAACATATTCAAACTAATTAATTTGTCATAATTTTGCTTCAAATCCTTCTCAAACATTGTAATTGCGCAGTTAGCTTTAAATGGTAGTTTGTCGTCTGCATGTAATAACTTGAATTTAATTTCATATAGATATAATATCAATAAGTACGACATAGGTAAATTGTGTGTCCATACTATACTACAGAAACTAACATCAATCGATAATGTTGATGATGTTACTATGCAAACTGTAAGTGCAATAAATGATATGATTTTATTAAGGGATCAAACGTTTTGTAAAACGGATAAAAACAATTTAAATGAAATTATTCATCACTTGTCCACATATTAGACATTTAACTATGAGAATGTATATTTTTTGTATATTTATTACTTTTCTCATAGTTTTGTAAGTATTTGTGTATTGTGTACTCAATTTAGTACGAAATAAATATATTATATTATTATTAAAATTCGATCAAACCAGGTCATGTTTACGTCACGTATTGGGAGTCAGAGGAGAATTCATTGCATACATAAGACGATGTTGTCTTTAATCGCTTACTATTTATTACAAATATCGAATCCTAATTAAATTCTCGGATTATCCACTACCCGCGTCATTTTTAGTATTGTACGTCTAACTCTTCATAAAGTTTATCAACTTGTACATCAATGTTCGCTTGTGACCTTTGACATTACGCCTGCAGAAGTTCCTAATCGTCGGGCTGTTGATATGGGGAACCCTTACATTTTTGTCCTGTATACGCTCCATGAGTGTTTTTCGGAGAATCCAGTATTTTTCTAGTAAGATTGGATATCTCTACTTTCCATATATACCAAAATTGCCATACTTTTATTGGAAATAACCACCCGATAAATACTTTTCTGGGAACACATCTTTAAGTCAACTGGCGTGGCTGCGAATCCCCGGTTGTACGTTACAAGGAGTAGTGGTGGGTTTTCTCCGGGTTCTCCGGTTTCCTCCCAGTGCTAAAGACCCTTACGCGCAAGCGAATTATTGAAATAAAATTGAACCATGTGTTAGTCCCGAAATGACCTTGATTTTGAGTGGTCGTTACCCCCCCCCTCTCTCTCTCTCTCTCTCATTATATACACTACCCCAATCCATTCAATATCAATGACAACAATAATTATACCGTACTTTTCATAATTTATGTTCTCAGCTCTTGAAATCTTTGACGCACTATTGAAAAATACTAGACAATTAAATGCTCTTTAAAATCATACCTTTTTCGAAAATGTTATTCAACATAATGTGCTTATGTATAGTGAACAATTAATGTTTATACATGTTTATAAACGTTATGTTCAGCGGTTTGAGATTTTCTAATGTTAATCTCTATATGAAAAATTAATTATTATTATAATTAAAACCACGTAATTATGGTCCAAAGTTTCCTCGTGTTCGATATTGATTATTTGTAATCCAATATGCAGTGTGTATCGGTAGTAATGTTATCTGAGTTTATGTCCTTTACTTACTTTAAAGGGCGTATAACTCTTTTCTTTGTAACATTTAAATATACGAAAATGGGTTCAAAAGCGAGAGAGAGAGAGAGAGAGAGAGAGAGAGAGAGAGAGAGATTTCGGGACTAACACACGGTTCAAATTTATGTCAATAATTCGCTTGCGCGTAGCGGTCTTTAGCAGTGGAGGGAAACTGGAGGACCCAGAGAAAACCCACGAGGTTGGACAGGCGACCTCCTCCTTGTTACGTACAACCGTGG